TACATTCAATAATGTTTACAGCAGCATTTGTAATAGAACTAAACTGGAAGCTATCCAAATGTCCATCAGATGAGTAGCACATCAAAAGCTGTGTAGAGCAGGGTGTGGTAGCACATATCTGTAATCCCTGAGGCAGGAGGATTGCAAGTTCAAGGTCTGCCTCAGCAGTTTAGCAAGGTCCTAAGCCATTTAGTGAGACCCTATCTCAAAATAAAAATTAAAAAAAGGTATAGGGATGTGGCTAGTGGTTAAGCACCCCTGGATTCAATTCCTGGTACTGAAAGGAAGGAAGGAAGGAAGGAAAGAAGGGAGGGAGGGAGGGAAAGAGGGAGGGAGGGAAGGAAGAGCTATGCAGCAGTAACATTGAATAAACTACAATTATGTACAACATGGGTGAATCTCACAAAACATAATATTGAGTAAAAGAAGCCAGACACAGAAGAGAGCATAGTGAATGATTCCATTTATATCAAGTTGAAAAGCAAGTCTTTACTGTTAGAAGTCAGTGTGGTAGTTATTCTCAGGAGGGGAATAATAACTTTGAGAGTACAGTTGGCCCTCCTTATGTGTGGGATCCATATCTAGAGATTCAACTAACTGTAGATCTGAAATATTAGGGGAAAATTATATCCATAGTGAATAGACTTTTGTTCTTGTTTTCTAAACAATACAGTATAACAGCCATTTATATAATATTTCCATGTTGTTAGATATTATAAGTAATCTAGGGATGATTTAGAGGATATGGAGGATGTCCAGGTTATATGCAAATTATACACCATTTTATTTGAGCCTTGAGCATCCAAGGATTTTGGTATCCTTAGTGTCCTGGAACCAGTCAGTTCCCTCAGATACTGAGGGATGACTGTATTTGTAATATTCTATTCCTTGACACCTGAGGGTTCAATTTGTGAAAATTCTTTGAGCTATATGCTTTTTCCTTACATATGTTATGTTGTATACTTTTCTGTGTATATGTTACATATCAGTAAGATGTTATGTAACTCAGAATACTGGAGTTCCTGGCTATACATCCCAAAGCCTGATGGATGACCTTAAGTCATACCACTGAATTGCACTACCACCACCACCAAGCTGAAACTTCACATTGCACCACTGGCCACTGCTACCTTGTTGTTGCTGAGGCACTTGATCCAGCTGCAGCTACTCCCTGGCCCCCAGGGTACTTCTTCCATTCCTGGCTCCATTCTTAGGCTTCTTTGTGTGTGTATATACCTTTGGTTAGATAGAGCCTAACATAAGTTCTTCTTGCTGTAAGGGAAGCTGGGAAAGCAAGTATCCAGTGTTTTCAGATTCTATAGTTGGCAGTGATATTGATCAAAAATTATAACCAGGTTGTGGGGGAAGAAGCTGTTTCAGATTTTGGGCAGCCAAAAAGAGGAACATCTTTGAGGTGAACATTTAAGTCAGCAGAATAAAGTAGATTTCAAGTGTTAGAAACAATAGAAGCCTAGGGGTAGAAGTTGAATGGAGTTAGGTATTTGGGTCCAGGGGAAACAGGTTTAACTGGATTAAAGGGTGTGTTCTGGGAAAGTGGTGTGAGAGACATTGAAGAAATAGGGTGTGACAGGATTAAGGATTGCTTTGAAAGTCAGGCAGAGGAATTTAAATTTAATATGGGAATTTTGGAAGCAGTAAAAAGTTTTGAACCGGAGAATGTTCTGAGAGGAAATTGTATTTAAGGACTAAATTGTATTTAAGGACTAACCTCAACCTGTGTCTTCTGCTTCAGAAAGCTTCAATTTTCCCACCTCAGGAAATCTGGCAGCACTTTCAGGGGCAGCTAGGAGGCATCTATAGTAATTTAGGAGTGGAGTGGTAGATTGGGAGTAGAAATAAAAGGCAAATATTGGATTTAAGAGAGAATTTGAAGCTAGAAGCTGTTTCCTCAAATGCCTGAGTCCTGAGCCCAAGTGCCTGGTCCTGCCTTTCACTTAGAGGAAGCCTGTTTGGAGGAAAAAGTAAGAAGAATGCGTTTTAGTTTTGGAATTGTTGAGTTTGAGATGATGGATATTTGTGCAAAAAATGATTCCTCTGCAGTTGGAGATGGAGAACAAGAGTGAAAAAAAATCATTCTTTCAGAGAAAGGTGTGAAAGGATTGAAACTGTGTGTTGGGTCTCTTGGGCACATTTCTCTTTTCTTTGTCATGGGCCACCAGGTTAGATAGACTAACTTGAATTTTATTTCAGGTGATAAATGTGAACCTCAACCTGTGTCTTCTGCTTCAGAAAGCTTCAATTTTCCCACTTCAGGATATCTTGATCCTATTACTATTTTACATAATTTTCTGTTACTCTAATATCTTTTTACAGAAGATGATTAATACATGAGATGTTTTTCTTGCTTGTTTTTTTAAATATTTATTTAGTTGTAGATGAACACACAGTATTTTTATTTATTTTTTATGCAGTGCTGAGTATTGAACCCAGTGCCTCACACATGCAAGGCAAGCACTTTACCCCTGAGCTACAGCCCCAGCCATTCTTGGTTATTATTTTTTTTTTTGGTGGACACGATGTCTTTATTTTATATTTATGTGGTGCTGAGGATCTAACCCAGTGCTTCACATATGCTAGGCGAGTGCACTACCTCTGAGCCACAATTCCAGCCCATTGGTTATTTTTAATAGCTTTGAATGCTGTGAATATGAGAAGAATGTGCTAAATTATTTATTTTTTATTTTATTTAGCAAATATAAAACATAATGGACTACCATGTGATGTTTTAATACATGTATAGATTGTATAATGTTTAAATCAGGTTAAACATTTTTTTTTTTTTGGTACTAGGGATTGGACCCAAGTGCACTTAACCACTAAGCCACATCCCCATCCCTTTTTTGTATTTTATTTAGTTGCTTAGGTCCTTACTAACTTGTTGAGGCTGGCTTTGATCCTCCTGCCTCCCCTAGCATGCACCACCATGCCCAGCCTCAGGTTAAACATATCTATCTCCTTAAACACTTATTGTTTCTTTATGATGAAAGCTCAAAATAATTTCTTCTAGCTTCTTTTAACATGCAGTATGTTATTGTTGTCTATAGTTCCCCTACTATGCAGCAGCATACCAGAGCTTCTTACTTCTATCTAACTGTAACTTAGTACCCATTGTTTAACACACCAGAGGCTGTTTAACACAGCCTCTGGTAACCACCATTCTACTCCTAGAACACAACAAAAAAGGAAACCAATATTGCTAATGAGCATAGATGCAGAAATTCTCAATAAAATACCTGCAAAGCAAATCCAACAACATATCAAAAAGGTCATTCATCATGCTCAAGTGGGATTTATCCTAGGGATGCAGGATGGCTGAAAGGTGAGGGACTTCAATGCAGACAGAGAGAGAGAACATATGAAAAACAAACCTACAGATGATTAGAAAAGATTGTAATTACCAGCACTTTGGCATACACTTTGTGTATGCCAGCTCCATTTCCATATTGTACTTAGAAAAGAATGAAGGGTAAATAAAAAAAAAAAAAACAAAGGGATAACATAAAAAAAGAGAGTGGATAGAAAACCTATTTGGGTCTCACAAGTCTTTTTGAGCCTAAGCCAATACATTTAGTCACAGTCAGTAACCACAAGCTTTGGCATACTATTTGGGCTTGCTAAGGCAGCCAGGTTTCCTGAGCATGACGGTAGGCTTTTGTGTACAGCTTGAAAGCTATTGCTGAGGCATGCCTTCTTGGTATTCCTCTGAGGATTTTATTCTCTCTGGTCTAGAACATGTCCCTACCTGTAGATGACACTGGATTGCTCAGCTGTCACTAAAGGGTGTGTAGCCATTTTAATAAGAAATGGGTCACCCCTTGGGTAATGTGTGAGACAGTGAAGAAAAGAATCTTCAAATGGTTGCCCACTATTTACGCTACAGGTGTGTTTGCCTGGAATATTTCCCCTTTCTGCATTAGTAATTTGAGGCCTTGGGCTCTTCAGTTTAGCAGGGAATGTTTCTATGAAGATTAGAGAAAGTTAGCTGTTGGCTGAAAATTCCCAAACCCTTTCTTTATCAATGGCTCTGTAAGTTTTTTTCTGCCTAAAGAAGATGCATATGGTGGGGGTGCAGTTCAGTGGTAGAGCACTTGCCTGTCATGCGTGAGGCCCTGGGTCCCATCCCTAGCACTGCAGAAAAAGGAAAAAAAAAGTAGCAAATAGCAGGTTGAGAATTTAGGAAGTAATTTTGAGTACATGTCAAAAGACTTATCAGACCTTTCCATTTTAAAGTGAAAGTGATGAACTCCACATTTATAAAGATTAACCTTTTTATGAATCTAACAGGCCTTTGCATTACTCCTTCTTTTGGTCATACAATAGCTTAGAAGAGCTATCCCATATCTAAATCACATCAGAATCAAATCATTTGGGAAGAGATCTGTGTGCCCTAGGGCATGTAGCTTGCAACAGACTATGGAGCATGGAGTCTATCATTATTGCAGAGAAAATTTCACCAGCTGATTTGAGAGAAGCAGGAATTCAACATCCCCTTCAGAGGCTTCCCCTTACTTCATTTACTTCAAAATCCCCCAAAAGGCAAACTATAATTGCCTAAGACAGAACTAGCAAGGTGCACAGATGAATATGGAAATGATTATTAGGAGGCAGAAGGTGAATATCACCAGTCTGTACTCAAGCATCCCAAGTCTAGCAACCATTCTCTGGGAAGGGAAATGCTACTTTTTTTGTGTGTGTTTGTGGTATTGGGGATTGAATCCAGGGCTTTGTGCATGCGAGGCGAGCACTCTACCAACAGAGCTATATCCCCAGCCTGGAAATGCTACTTCTATTAAAAATTTATAAAGCAAAGCAATCACCAGGATACTATATATATTTAAAAATACTTTGTTTCATTTTAGAGCTGGTTGAACTTAAGTAGTACCTAGAACTTGTTTTATTTTATATATATGTGTGTGTGTGTATACATATATCTATATGTATATATAGTAGTATAATTAATTTTTTTTCAATAAATACAGGAGCTGACCAGTCTCATGCCTTGGAATATAATTTGACAGATTCATCAAATGCTACTTGCCTTTATGCAAAGTGGCAGATGAATTTCACAGTAACGTATGAAACTACAAACAAAACTTATGTAAGTAAATATTTTAGTTTTATAGAAGAAATTTAATTCTGACTCCTTTTTTATTCCTTAAGTACATTTATACAAATAAGGTTTCATGTTAACTGACCTAACACTTAAACTCTCCGGAGTATTTTTTAACATTATACTCTTGTAGACTCTTGTAGGTATTCTGTTTAGTGTTGGCATTCATATTTCTTCTAATCAATTAGTTCTTTTTTTTTTTGTTACCAGGGATTGAACTCAGGGGCACTCAACCACTGAGCCACATCCCCAGCCCTATTTTGTATTTTATTTAGAGACAGGGTCTCACTGAGTTGCTTAGCACCTCGCTGTTGCTGAGGCTGGCTTTGAACCTGGGATCCTCTTGTCTCAGCCTCCTGAGCATCTGGGATTACAGGCGTGCACCACTGTGCTCAGTTTAATCAGTTCTTTAGAGAGTTTTTCTTAGAGATGGTTAAGTGCAAATGATCTGAAGCTACATGATATTCAGGTCTAATTACCCCTGTAATATATTTAAAATATGCTAGAATTAAAGCTTGCCCTTTTTAAAATCTTTTTTTTAAAATATCTTTATTTATTTTTATTTGGTGCGGAGGATCAAACCCATGCCTCACGCATGCTTTACCACTGAGTTATAGCCCCAGCCCCTAAAGCTTGCCCTTTTTAAAAAATAGCTTAATATTAAAATCTTCCTTTTGGGGAATTTATTCTTAACCCTTTTGTCTTATTTTCTTTTGTTAAGGTTCTACCTACTTTAAAGCCTAATTGAAAAATATCAGCTGAGGAGCTGCAGGTAAAGCTCAGTGGTGAACATGTGTGTGGCTGAGGGTTCCATCCCCAGCACTGCCAAACAAACAAACAAAATCAGCTAGAGAACAATAGATCAGGACAGTTTTCCTTTTCTCTTTAGACATACAGGGGACTGAAGTGTAGCTGAAAATCTGAGATTAATTTATGGGGAACACCAGGCAAAGGGCAACCTGGCCATGAAGAATGTGTGACATAGACTGAAGTGGCACACCCAGCTAGTCTCCCCATGTTTGGTGTTCACTGTAACCTGTTCCTCACCCCTAAATTTCTCTTTCTACTAGAAAACGGTAAACATTTCAGACCTAAGCAATGTGACATATGAGGGAAGCACTTGTGGAGATGACCAGAATGGTCCCAGAGTAGCAGTGCAATTTGGATCTGGTTTTTCCTGGATTGTAAACTTCACCAAACATGCTCCTAATTATTTGATCGATACCATCTCGTTTTCCTACAATATTCATAATCACACAACATTTCCTGATGCTGAACATAAAGGTAACTTTAAGAATTGGATTTGTGTTATGTTGTCTTGCTTTTAATTAATAATGTAAGCAACTTAAAAACCATCATTATGCATGTCTTTCTTCCTAACTAGAATGGAAACGTCATGTTCTTTATCTCCTCCTGTAAGCTCATGCATAGCACAGTGTTAGACATAGTAATGATGTTGACTGCATGGCTTGAGAGCTTTACTCTGTACAGTTTATTACCCTGTATTACTTGTGACTTCTCACTTAATCCTTAACAAGAACCTTGGGAAGTTGATATTATCAAAGTTTTACAGGTAAAGGGATCAAGGTTTGATGACATTGACTTTCCCAAAGGTTATAAATCTAGTAGGTGGGCCAGCAGCTGGTGTTCAAACCAAAGTCTGTTCAACTGCAGAATTTGTACACTTATTATTTATTTTATTAAGTAGTAGGCCCTGAACAAATGTTGAATAAATGAGAAAATCCTTTGCTGATAACTATTTTAAATATGTTCAAATTCAGTAACCTGAAGCAAGAGGAAATGCCTCATCTGTAGATGTTTTCACCATTTAAAATGACTAAAAATTAAATGGGATTAAAGTTAAAATGACAAAAGTCAACATTTGCTGCCATTTTGAGACAATTTCAGGTCAAAATGAACTTGGGAAAGTATTGGAAATTAGGTTTATTCTTGTAATTCCCATAACTTAAATGCATATTAAAACATCTTGAAGACATGTATAGTGGAGATTTTAATTTTATTTGGAATATAATTCTCTCCTTTCTTCCCCTCTATTGAGGTTATCATGGTGTTTGTAGTGGCATAGCTCTTCCCACAGATAGTGTTTCATTCTGACTTCACAAACAGAGGCAGATAGGCATTAGTTGCTCAGACATGTGATTTTTTTAATCTTTATTTTTATTTATTAACGTGGTGCTGAGGATCGAACCCAGGGCCTCATGCATGCTAGGCAAGTACTTTACCACTGAGCTACAACCCCAGCCCAATCTGAGGATTAATAACTCATATGGACTTACAAATCTCAAAAAACTATATTTTAAAGATCTAGAAGTGTGTGAGTTCACAGAAAACGTGGGAGGTAGCACAGACTAAGACTTAAAAAAATTAAATCCTGGTTTTCTTTTTACTGATATCTTAGTTTGAGAGAATAACTAAGGCAGATTATTGGCTATGTTATTTATTTATCTTAGTGTTCTGCATTGTTTTTGAGAAGTCAGATAAAATTTGTCCCTCATTTCAAGGAACTTAGAAACCAGTGGAGCTGAATTGTGTTCCCAGGTTATATGAATTTGGAAAGCATTGAGCTCAGTCTGATTTTTTTTTAATCTGTTCATGTTTTTGTTTGAGGGGAGAGAGTGTTCATCAATCTTTTCTGACAATGTGAGGCAAGCTTTAGATACTCTCTCAGAAAAGAAAAAGTGCACAGTAAATTCTGCATATGGCATATAGTCCCTGAACCCATCCATGTGGCCAAGAGTGCCAGCTTCAAAAATGTTCTTATCAGTGGTCCTGATTAGGAGCAGAGAGAAAGAAGAGGTCATTAAGCAATAGAGGAGTGAGAAGGCTGGGTGGCCAAGTAGGACCTGAGCTGAAACTGGGCTAACAGTCAAATTTGAGTAAGCAGAGGATTTTGAGCAGGATGTTTCCAGCAGGGGGAAGCATAGTATGTGCAACAGTAATTGGAGAGCTGCCTGATTAAAATAGAGGCTGTGTGTGTAGCAGAAGGAAACAAAGTTGGCCAATGCAGTGGGTCTAAATTACAGGGGGCTGTGGAAGCCAGGGAAAGGCATTTAGCTTGATGGGCTAGGCACTGGGGAACCATTGTAGGTTTTTAAAGCCAGAGAAAGATATAACAAAAGCAGAGAGAGTAGTTTATAAAGAATATTCTACAGGATTAATTCAGAAATGAGGAGACTGCAGGCAGCGGTGCCAGCTTCAGAGGCTGTTACAGTTATCAAGGGATGATGTAATAAATGCCTGTGCCACGTAGGCAGTGGTTAAAGGAGAGGTTTAGTCTGATATATTTGGACAGAAAAATTGACATGCTAACATCTATCTCCCCCTTTCATTTTAAAGAAGGGAGGGATTTTTAATTTTGATATCTGAAACTTGTTGGAATTTTAAATGGCTTCCTTAAATGCACTGTTAGTAATTGTTTTTAAAATAATTGAGCGTTTTGAAGTTCTAACTTATTTTTAGGCATCTGATAATTGAAGTGACTTTGAAGCTGTTATTTTCTTTTTAAAAACATTTCTTCATGATTAAAATTTAAAAAATACAGAGAATAATTTAAAAGACCCACAGGTACTCATTACCCATAATTAATAAATGCTGTGTTTCAGTATTTGCTTCATTTTATTTATTTAAAGAGACAAAATTTTACAGATACATTTGAGGTTTCCTTTGTCCTCACTCCCCAACTCCATTTTTCTCCTTGCCTGCTAGGAGGCAGCACTCTCACAACTTTGAGATGTAAACTTCTTGTCTTTGTGCTTATATTTTACTGCATCTGTACCTATTCATAAATAATACATAGTTTTAAAAACTTATAGTTTCATAGTGTAACCCCAATATATCTACAACTTTTTTTTTACTCATTTGTTTTTGAGGTCTGTTTTATATGCAGCCAGTTCACATATCTATTCATTTTTGTTAACAGTGAGAAACAGTTTTGGGAAAAATCTTCTAGTTCATTGGTTTAACAATTACTTTTACTATTAGCTAGTGCCAAGGCAGCTACATGATGGAGAGGTACAGAAGGCAGCCTATATTAAGGGCCTTGAATGGAAATATCTTCCTTTCTTGCTACTTCTTCAAAAGAAATGAAGCCATATAGATTTATATGATTGTAGTTTTTTTTTTTTTTTGAATGGGGGGACTGAGATTGAACTCAGGGGTGAACTCAGGGGTGCTTTACCACTGAGTTACATCCCCATTCCTTTTTTTGTTTTATTTTGAGACAGGTTCTCACTAAGTTTCTCAGGGCCTTGCTAAGTTGCTGAGACTAGCCTTGAAGGTGCGATCCTCTTGCTTCCTGAGTCATTGGGAATACAGGCGGGTCCCACTGTATTGTTGTCTTTGAAATTCTACTCTAGCTATTCTAATAAAACCTGAATAGAATGGTTGCAATGTTACTTTCACCTTCTGAAGATTTCCTGAAATGGAACAGTCTTTAGATTCCATCTAGAAAGAAGCTCTGTAAGCCCATAAAAGTTGATATTACTTTGGGATAGTAGCACAAAAGTAAGGATTTTACTATAAAATCTGTATTAATTCATCTCTCTTTCTTCTATATCTATACTCAATAAGTCCTTTTAATTCTACCTTAGGTAGGTATTTTCAATTAGATCTCCTTGTTTTCTTCCTACTCCCCACCTTACCTTTCACCTCCCATTACATTGGCCTTCTAACTGGTTTCCCTCTTAGGTGGCTTCCCTTAAAAGTTTTCTGCTCAGCCTGTCCCCTACAAATTTGCTCTCTCCCTTAAAATAAATTATATGTGTCCTAGTTACTGCTGAAATTAGCCCTCCATTGCCAATAGAGAAAGTCTGTACTGTCCTTAGTTGGTAGAAGATTCCTCAAAATGAGACCACATGCAACTTGTCTTTTCTTCTTAGCCCCCATTACTTCTTCCTTATTCCCTATGTTTCAGCTACAGTGAACTTGTCATTGCCTTCAACATATTGTTATTCCCTTCAACATCCCTTTGTTTACTTCATGCATGAAGTGAGAAGAAAGTTATTACAAATATATTTATATTATCACTCTTTTCTTGCCTTCTTGGAAACAGTCATTGTTAATCTTGTTTTGTAGGAATTATTACCATTGACAATCATGTGGCATTAAAAGTTCCATTGAATGACATCTTTAGATGCAATAGTTTGATAACTATAGAAAAGAATAATGTCACTCAGCACATTTGGAATATTCTTGTACAAGCTTTTGTCCAAAATGGCACGGTGAGCACAAAAGGTGAGTACTTAAAGTATGTTTTTCTATACTAGGATCCTAATTTAAGAGTGGTATTAAATATATTCCATGCTTGTATAATTACATCAAAATGAATTCTACTGTCATGTATAACTAAGAAGAATCAATAAAATAAAAAAGTAGTATATCGGGTGGTATTCATTAAGGTCATTATCTCAAAGCATTTATATTTTAAGACTTGTGGCTTACACACGACCATAATTTTTTTTTTTGTAAATAATAGCAGTTTTTGTGGAAATTTTTTAAACTTTAAAAAAAATTTTTTTTAGTCGTAGGTGGACACAATACCTTTATTTATTTATTTTTATGTGGTGCTGAGGATTGAACCCAGGGCCTTGCATGTGCTAGGCGAGTGCTCTACTGCTGAGCTACAACCCGAGCCCCTCTTGTGGAATTTAAAATGTAAAGTTTATGATATACACGTGGAATGATCTTTCAGCAAGTCTTTTTTTTTTTAATGTGGTGTTGTGGGTCAAAACCAGAATCTCATGCTAGGCATGTGCTCTACCATTGAGCTATATACATTACCAGCTCTGGAATGGTCTTTCAAAAGGCTCTACCTATAATGTTTTCAGCTGATAAAACCTGATTTTTGTTTGATCATATCCTCGAATAGCTTAATCATCCACTCTTTAGCACGTTCCAAGACAAAAGCTTGAAAATTAGATTTTTATTTTCTAACCTTGACTAAAAACACTTTTGTTTATTGTCTTTTGTTTGTTGATTGGTTTTAGAATATCTGTGTGATGAAGACAAACATTCCACAACAGTGGCACCCATCAATCACACCACTGTGCCATCTCCTACTCCAACACCCACTCCAAAGGAAAATCCCTATGTGGGAAACTATTCGGTTCGTGATGGTAATAGCACTTGTCTACTGGCTACCATGGGGCTGCAGCTGAACATCAGTCAAGATAAGGTATGACTGTCTATTTTTATCATTACAGCCTTTTTGTGTTTCCTTCCAAATACTGTGTATCCTACTGTCAGCCCAAGAGTAGTGTTACTAGAATAATTCAGTTTTAAATAGAGATTCAATGTTGACTTTGAGTTTTGATTGGTTACTGTGAGCATGAAGAGTTAATAATTCTTGTAAGGCATTGACTTGGTCAGCAGAAAAATCTATCAGTTCATAGGATTCTTTGGAGTTTAGATTCTGTTTTCCCTTAGTAGGTCAAAGTACACATAGCTGAGTTGTATTTCAGTAGCTTTAAAATAGCTCAGTGGTAGAACATTTGCCTAGAATGCTTGAGGCCCTGGGTTCCATCCCCAGCACCACCAAAAAATAAACTATAACTCCTTCATACTTTTAACTGAAATGTACAGAAGCTTGTTGTTCAGGAGTAGTGCAGCTTTCTGTTTTTTCCAGCTATTTGATGACTCAGATCGTAAAGACACTTTCAAGTACATGATAGCTTTTCTAGTTGCAGTGTTCCACTTGGGCTCCAGAGGGAGTGCCAGTGAACAAATCTTGTTTCCAGGATCCTGTGATTGAAAGAAACTAGACAGATGGCTCTTGTGCTCCGTAAAAATGTGTGTTTTCATTTGGCTCATTACTGAGGAAGCTTCCCTCTTGTTGTTGTTGTTGTTGTTTTTTAAGTCATCTGAGTCATAGCTTGAGGGTTTGTGCCAAGTTTGTTTGAAAGTAAGACACCATGAATTTAAGTATCCAAACAAAGGAGGTTTTGTTCTGCATTGAAGTTGAGTGTAAGGCTTTGCTGTCAGATTTTATAGTTAATCAGTACCTCCCCTTTCTTCTTTCCCTGAAGGTTTCTTCAGTCATTAACATTAACCCCAATTCAACTGGTGTCACTGGCAGCTGCCATCCTCAGACTGCTCAGCTTAGGCTAAACAGCAGCAACATTAAGTATCTTGACTTCGTCTTTGCTGTCGTAAGTAACAGATTTTTTCTAAAGTTGGGTTCATTCTCTGAGAAATACATCTGAAAGTTTAAACATTTGTGTATGGGGGTGTTCATGTCTTGTTTTATTTTCCATTTCAACACTATTAATTATACAGTGTAGTCCATTGATCCCTCTTCATTCCTCAAACTCTGCTTGGTGTTCTGTGGCTGGACTCTTTTATTAATATTCACCAAGAATGGCCTTTCTATTGTATAGTCTCTAGGGTAGGAGCAAGAATTAACTCACATTAAAAGAAAACTCTCTAATCTCTCCACATATAAATAATTTTCAGGATAATATTTTTTTCTCTTTCTGGTTAGATAACCCTCATGTTTGTGTATTATAATATTTTCAGCCTTTTGGAAGTAATGCCATTTGTAATAGTGTCAATAATAATAATAATAATACATTTGTTGAATATGATAAGGCCTCTGTATCTGTGGGTACAGCTTTCATGGATTCACCAACCTTGGGTCACCAATATTAAGAAAGAAGGGCTGGGGTATAGCTCAGTGGTAGAGTGCTTGCCTAGCATGTGTGAGGCCCTGGATTTCACCCAGTACTACCAAAAATAGAAAAAAAGAGTTATATCTGTACTGAACATGTACAGACTTATGTTCTTGTCACTAATCCCTAAGCAAGATAGTGTAACGATTACTTACATAGCATTTACATTACATTAGGTATTATTAGTAATTTAGAAGTGATTTAAAGTATGTAGGAGGATGTGTGTAGGTTATATGCAAATACTACACCATTTTATAAAAAGGACTTAAACAAACTCAAATTTTGGTATCTGTTGCTGGTCCTGGAACCAATCCTATGAGAATATCAATACTAAGGGATGACTGTACTTTCTATATATAAGAATTGTGTAAGGGCACATATTAACTCATTAAATCAGGATAGCTTAAAATGCCAGCATTAAGTTTGTGCTGTTGTTCACATTTGTATGAAAAGCTGAACCCTGAACAGAAGGTTTCAGGTTACGTATATCTGTCCTACTTCTTGCTAGAATTAATTAGTCATTGGGGACCTTTATTTCTACCTTCTCAGAAGCAATTGTTATCCTCATAATATTTCTGTGAGGGGATATATCTGTATACATATTGTAGCAAATGGAAATGAGCAATAGGGGATAGCTACAGATAAGGGAAAATGAACCACCAATAGTTCTTAAAATAAGAGCTATTATATAATTGGATAAAAACAAGTTCTGCTTTGTAATCAGATTACTGATATATAACATCTGATATGTAGATGAGAGGTATGTTGTAATTTCATATCTGAACTTGGTATCTTGAGTCTAAAGTATTTTTCTCTATAGAATATGTGCTGAGTAATTGAAGATTATATTAGACAATTATATTTTAGAAAGGATTACAAAATTTTTCTTTTTCTTACATTCTAATAATTCCTCTATGACTAGTGAGTCACTGTTAAAAATGTCAGGTAGGCTAGGGTGTTGCTCAGTGGTAGAGCATTGCCTAGCATACATGAGGCCCTGGGTTCCATTTCCAGCACTGTAAAATTAAAAAGAAGAAAGTGTACAAATGTCTAAAACTTGTTTTCTTCAGGCTGAGGGTATAGCTCAGTGGTAAGTACTTGCTTAATGTGCGAGGCCCTGGGTCCCATCCTTAGCAACATACATACATATACACACACATACACACACACCAAAAAAAAAAAAAAACTTATCCTCTTCAGTATGGTAAGAGCAGACCTCCCTAGATATATTCTGTTATCTCATAGAAGTTATGGTTAATAAAAATGAGAAAAGTAATATTTGGGGTCATTCCCTTTTGAGTGATACATCTGACCACTGTGGTAGGCTCTTTAACGGAAAATGGCTTCTTCTGATCTTACATGGAAATGTTTAATATTAATAATTATAATATTTGTTTTGCCCTGTAGGCTATTTTAAAATAGAATCCAGCCAGGCAAGGGAGTGAATACCTATAATCCCAGCTATCCTAGAGGCTGAAGCAGGAGGATCACAAAAGTTTGAGGCCAGCCTGCACAATTCAGCAAGACCCTTTCTCCAAATGAAAAAAATAAAAATGGCTAGGAATGTAGCACAGTGGTAGAGCATTCTGTGTTCAATCTCTAATTTCACACATACACACAGGGATAATTAGAACAAATAAAACAAAAACAGGGCTGGGGACATAGCTCAGTTGGTAGAGTGCTTGCCTCGCATGCACAAGGCCCTGGGTTCAATCCCCAATACCACACACACACATAAAGTCTAGGAGTGTAGTTTAGTGGTAGAGCATATGCCTAGTATGCACAAGGTCTTGGTTCCATTTCTAGTACTGCAAAAAAAAAAAAAAAAAACTAATAAAATTAAATTATTATTATTTTTTTTTATTGGTCGTTCATAACATTACATAGTTCTTAATACATCATATTACATGGTTTGATTCAAGTGGATTATGAACTCCCGCTTT